GTGCCTAGAGCCCATGCTCCGGAACAAGAGAAGCCACCGTAATGATAAACCCACGCACCACAACGAAGGTAGCCCCCGCTCACTGCAACTAGAGAAAGCCTGCGCAGTAAAGAAGCCCCAACGCAGCCAAAAAAAAAAAAAATTAAACAGTGTAGTACCTTTAGACCAGTCTGCTGAAGGGCTTTCTCTAAGTGTACCAGACTTGGTTTCAGGGTAGTTAACATTCATGTCATTCTAAAGCCAGGGACACAACCCCTGTGAGAGCTCTGCTTCAATGTGAATCCAGATGATCCCTTATGTTCTAATATCTTCAGCTCAGAGAAAGAGGCAATTGATTCATGTGTTACAATAGTCAAATATGGACATGCTTGAAATTGTTAAAGGATTTGGAGAAGAGAGGGAATTAGTTTTATAATTTTTCTGGAAACTATTATAATTTATGAAGTTTTGTTATTTTTTCTCAAAATCTATTGAGGTGCTTCACAGAGATTTTATCAGGTGTTTCACAAGTACATATATTGAAAAATTCTTGTTTATATCAGAATAGCAATCCTGTCAGACATTTTTAGCCAGCAATATTGGAAATTACCTACATTTCTGTATTCTTTCTTCCAATATAATGCATAGATCTGGCTATAGTTTAGTATGCATTTATTATGTTTATTTTTCTTCAATGATAGTGAGTTTCCATACAAATTTGTCCCTTAACACCCCAAATAAAATTTTTTTCTTAAATTCTTCCTAGAACACATTACTTTATTCTTTGTTTTAATAAAAAACTTAGTCCTTGGTAGAGATTTCTCAGAAAATTATCTACACTCAAAATTATGTATCTTCAAAATTAAAGTGAGTACAAGAAAATTACTTCACTGACTTCGGGAAATAACAAATAAACATCTAGAGGAACCTCAATAAACATGAAATTAAACTCATATAACAAACTTACCCACTGTTTCTACTTATTACAAATGAGGAAGAGGCGCAAACACTGTGGAAAGACAAGTCTTTTTCTTCTATTTCAAAGTGATGGGGTGATTTCAATAATGTCTTAAATGCTTTCCCTGATTCTACCTTTGTTCCTCCTCTAATATTTTCCCCCACGGGAGCTAGAGTCATCCTTGTAAAACATAAATAAAAACCATATCCCCACTCAACGCCTTCATTGTCACTCAGAATTTTAAAAATTCTTTCCAAATGTCTTCCGGGCTCAGAATATACGCTGCCCAATATGGTAAACACTAGTTACATGTGTCTATTGAACATTTGAAGTGTAGCTAGTTTGAATTGAGATGTGCTGTAAGTACAAAATACACGATGGATTTGGAAAAGTTAGTAGTGATAAAAGTAATTTTCACAGTAATAATTTTATATTGATTACCTGTTGCCATGATAATCTGTTGAATATATTAAGTTGAATGAAATGCATTATTAAAATTAATTTCACTTAAAAAAATGTGGCTACAAGAAAAATTTAAATTACATGTCTTGCATTTATGGCTCACTTTATTATTCTACTCAGTAATACTGGCTTAAATAATCAGGAAGTCACCTGCTCCCTTCCATTTTCAACCCATATTGTTCTCTTTGCTGTTCCTCAATTTACCTTGGCTATGTCAAGCCAAGGTGTTGACTATTCCCTCTTCCTGGAAGATCCTCTTTTGGATATCCTTATGGTTAGTTTCCTCACTTTCTTCTGTTCTCTGCTAAACTTATCAGAAAGAACTTCTCTGACCAACAAATTTAAAATGGCCTCATCCAACACAAGTACACACCCACCATCTCTCTTTTTTCAAAATACTTATACCTGGCATATTATATGTAGGTGCGTGTGTGTGTGTGTGTGTGTGTGTGTGTGTATAATCTCTACTCAGAATGTAACCCCCATGAAATCAAGGGCTTTGTTTTGTTTACTGTTTCTCTAGAATAGTGACTAGCTTAAGGTAGATACTAAATAAATATTTGTTAAATAAATGAAAAGATGGAACATCATTTAAAATAAAGGTGACATCGAAGAGATTTTATCATGAAGGAAGCATTGGAAAATGAGAAGAACTAACATTTTCTGAGTGCCTACAATGAACTAGACACTGTACTAAGCACTTACATTATAATATCTTAATAAATCTTCATAGAAATGTACTTGCAGATGAGAAATCTAAAGCTCAGATAATTTAAATAACTTTCCTAAAGTCACTTAGCCAGTATGGAACGTCATTTCAATACTTTTCATTTTATTTCCATGTCTTCAAGTTCCTTTTCTGGCTCCCAGACTAAATTAGGTGCTCTTGTAAATACTCTCTGAGTACCCTCCATTTTCCCTTCATATCATTTGTCACCATGGTAATTCATTTTGTAGTGTGGTATTTAATGTCTGTCTTCTTCACTGCATTTTAAACTTCAGATATGTGGCAATGAATATGTTGTTGACATTTCCATGTCTAGAGCCTTCCACCTTCCTTGTCTAGTGCTTAATTTCTCACACATATATATTGAATAAATGAATGAAGTTAACTTTATCCCAAAATATTATAATTGATGAGTAGGTTATTCGTACCTGCTAAGAATGAATGATTTTGTAGATCAGCTACATGAACTGCACCCAGTGGAACGATGACCGGCTGGATATTCCAGGGGAGAGTATGCTGGTGTGTCAGTGGACTATTTGTTCTTCACAATGGACCACAGGTAATGGGCTATGTTATGAATTTCCTCTGGAAATGTGCTGTCCAACATGGTAACCCCCTAGCCACATGGGGCTACTTAAATCAAAATTAATTAATATTAAATAAAATTGAAAATTCCTTTCCTCAACCATTTTAGCCAAATTTCAACTGCTCAGTAATCATTCGTGGCTTGTGCATGCTGTATTGAATGGCACAGATAAAGAAAATTTCCATTATACGGAAAGTTCTATTGAACAGCACTATTCTAGAAAGTTTAAAATGTCCTTGGGAAGATTTATTTTTCAATCAGAAGGGGCCTATTTGTTTGATTAGTTTTGTATTCTAACTAAAATTAAACTTTGAGAAAGAGTTCAGTAATATGTATTCCCAAGTGTTTCTGGGCAAGACCTAGCCATGGAAAAGGAGCTTCATTGTCCGGCAGATGAAACATTTAGTCAGACATGCTCATGCACAGCCAGTTACTGGTGTGGAAAGAACCACCCCTCCAAGGGCTCCAGGCAGGCCTACTGTTCCAAGGACGCTGCCAGCACCTTGCTGGATGGAGCCCTATGTCTCATGCCATTCAATACCATCCCTTTGCGTTTGATGTACAAAACAGAAAACTGAAATCTGAGGAAGAGGAAAGGGCTTGGGATGCCAAATGCACCTCAGACTGTAGTTAGATTCACAACTTCTGGAGAGAAAGCTTTTAAATGTTCCCTTCTTCAAAACTTCACATATCTTCAGGTAATTTCTTCACAATATAACTTTCAATGATTTTGGCCAATACAAGTTAACCTTTTTTGAGATTCTGTTGCTGGAGATTTTTCTTCCCTAATTGTCGAGGTAAAACATTTCCTGTCATTGCCTTAGAAAAGAAAATGCTTTATAGACAAGAATAAAAATTATATTCTCTTTTATTTTCTGGTTAAGTTCCAGGGGGGTTAAGAATTTTCTTAGCTTGGACCTTCTGGTTATTGGCTCCATTATTTGTTCACATTTCTCCATCATTTGCCAATCCTACTGAGCTAGTCTTTATCAAGGCTGCAAACAGTTCATGGTTCTCACTTCTAGACATGAAACCAACGGAGAGCTGAGGAGGGGACCACTAGGCAGCCCCACATGCCGCAGCTCAACAGGTGGGGAACATGGAATTTTTATTTTCTTTGGGGATGAAGCCCCCCACTCACCGTGACTTCCCCTAGCCTTTCAGGGTAGGTATTTCCAACCCCTCCGGAGATTTTTTTAGGAGAGACACCGAGTGACAATGGTGCCTCTGTGTACAACTGTGAAGTAGTGGTGAAAGTGGTGAAGGATGCAGGTAGGGACTGGGGAGTTGGTAAGGCTGGTTGGAGAGGTGCTAGGGTGGGGCAGATGGTTTCCTGAACAGTGAGCGGGATAAGGAGTAGAGAGAGTAGACCCAAAGTGGCAGCCGCGAAACAAACGCGAAAAGGACCGAAAACGCGAAGACAGGAGCCTGGGCGGACCTGGGCGGGGCAGAATGGGGAAGGGGCACGCCGGGACGTAACCGGCTGTGGGCTGGGGGATGCGAACGGGAAGGGACTTGCGGGCGCTCGTCGGGGGCTCTGGGACCCGAGCTCCGCTGATGAAGTCAGTGGAGCCGACGCGCTGGGAGGAGGGCGGCGGAGCCCCCGGACGCGGGTGTTGCGAGGCTGGCGGAGGGGCGGGACGGGACGGGAAATGGGACGGAGATCTAGGACCGGGGGAGGAGGGACGAGGGGGCGTCGGCGCTGGAAGCCGGAGGCGGCCCGACAGGGATCGTTTCCTTCCGGAGAGGAGGCCGGCTCTGGACCTAGGCGCGGGCGGGGGGCGTCCGAGGGCGGGTGACCAGGAAATATCGCGGCCCGCGCTTCCCCCGGCTGGCAGCGGTGGTGCTCGTGGCTCCTCCTCCGGGCCAGTCCGGAGCTCGGCGGCGGGGGGAGCGAGGGCGGGGGCTCGGGAAGGAGGGAGGAGGGAGGGACCAGGCGCGCAAGTGACAGGGTGGCAGCCTAGGAGCGGACGCCTTGCCGCCGCCGCTCCACCTCCTCCTCCTGCAGCTCCTCTCGCTGCCGCCGCCGCCGCCGCCGCCGCCACCGCCACCGCCGGGAGAAGTTTCACTCCCGACCCTCGCTCGGAGCGGGTAGCTCGGCCGGCAGCTGCAACGCGCCGCCGGCTAGGCGCCCGGCGCGCTCCGACCCGGAGGCGGCGTCAGAGCCTGGGCTGCGGGCGGCGGCCGGGGCTGGGGGCGTTGAGGCGTAGGAGGGGCGGGTGTGAAGCGGTAGACCCTTGCGCAGCGCCGCAGCCGCTCAGCCAGCGTCAGCGCCCGGGGCAGCCGCGATGGCCGTGCGCTCCCGCCGCCCGTGGATGAGCGTGGCATTGGGGCTGGTGCTGGGCTTCACTGCCGCGTCCTGGCTCATTGCCCCCAGAGTGGCCGAGCTGAGCGAGAGGAAGAGACGCGGTTCCAGCCTCTGTTCCTACTACGGCCGCTCGGCTGCTGGCGCCGGCGCGCAGCAGCCGCTCCCTCAGCCTTATGCCCGGCAGTGGCCGGAGCAGTCGCCGCCCCCAGCGCGCCAGGAGCTCCAGGGGCCGCAGCTGCCTGAAGCAGCGCCGGGGATAACCAGTTTTCGCAGCAGCCCCTGGCAGCAGCCACCTCCACTGCAGCAGCAGCGGCGAGGACGCGAGCCCGAAGGCGCGACGGGGCTCCCCGGAGCCCCTGTGGCCGAAGGGGAACCTGAGGAGGAGGATGGAGGCGCGGCTGGGAAGCGGAGAGGCGGTCGGCCGGGGAGTAGCCACAACGGCAGCGGAGATGGGGGCGCTGCCGCCCGGAGCTCCCGACCCCGGGATTTCTTGTACGTGGGGGTGATGACCGCGCAGAAGTACCTGGGCAGCCGCGCGCTGGCAGTGCAACGGACCTGGGCGCGCTTTATCCCCGGCCGTGTGGAGTTCTTTTCCAGCCAGCAGCCCCCCAACGCTGGGATTGGCCACCCCCCGCCACCCCTGCCTGTCATTGCGCTGCCTGGGGTGGACGACTCCTATCCTCCCCAGAAAAAGTCCTTCATGATGATCAAGTACATGCACGACCACTACCTGGACAAGTATGAGTGGTTCATGCGCGCCGACGACGATGTCTACATTAAAGGTGACCTCCCAGCCCCTGCTGTCCCGTCTCCCCGCCTCCCCGCCTCCTTTCTCTGCCAGGAAAGCCAGCCCCAATCCCTGGCCAGCCCCTATCCCTGGCCAGCCCCTCTCTGCTTTTCTGTCAGCACGTGCTCAGGGCTCCTACAGCCCCC